AATTATACTTAAAGTTAAGGGTAATCGACTGTTAAAAACATACTGTTAAAAAATTGTTTTCAATAAATGGATGTTTTAAAAGTAAATGGATAATCATTTTTAATAATCGTGATATCAATTATTGACCAAAATAATCGAGATTATGATTTTTGCAATAATCGAGCAGCCCTAGTAGGTCGTGGTGGTTTTATCGCGCAGCAGTTCCAACTAATTGAGAAATTCTGCTGCCTGTTGATCATGCATGCCAGCAGCATTGAGTGAATCAGTTTGGGGTTTCAAACTATTGCGAAAAAATGTCTTTCCTACCACACAAGTCTAACACCCAACCGTATACAGTAGTTACTCAGGTTTCATAAAATAAACCACATCACATGTAAGATTAAGGGAAAATTATCCGGGATAAAAATAGTCTCTTGGATGTGAAGTGATGCTGCTGCACAGAGAACTAGTTTTTTCTTCTAGTTCAAGTAACCAGAAATCATTTAAAAAGCTTTCTGACCCACTCAACTGCCCTACAAGAATTAGGTGTAATAAAATGATCTTCTCTTGACCTGACCCTCCTTCACAGACAGATTCAAGCACTGAGTAGTGGGAAAGTATTGAGATGAAGGACACAGTAGATCATATGACTGGGTAGCTGTAGTTATTTTTCTGGGTAAAGTGAAAAACGTAGGCAGCAGAAACGTCATAGTTCAATTCTACATCGATGTCTGTGGACTCAGAATGAAGCATATAGTTTATCTGTTTTTTAATACATGCTACAACTCAGCTCGGTAAACATTCTTTAGCCCAGTCCCAATTAGGGTAACCCTTCTGAGCTACAGCCAAACACACCAATAAAGAAGCTAAAACATATTTTGGGCAACTTGTGCCATGATATGTGAGGCAGTGACCTGGGAGTGTGATTAGCCAGACCGTCCTCCATCTGAAGCATCTGTTGTCTCTCTCTCTCTCTCTCTCTCTCTCTCTCTCTCTCTCTCTCTCTCTCTCTCCATCCTAAAGCGTGAACTCAGTCATCGCAGCCTAAAAAGCAGGATGGTCTGCCAGCAAACAATACAAGCCAATGCCTCTGTCTGGCATGGACAATACCTGTCTTAGCCTGGCTGTCGGCCAATGTGAGTGTGTGTTGTGTTGTGTGTGTGTGTGTGTGTTGTGTGTGTGTGTGTGTGTGTGTGTGTGTGTGTGTGTGTGTGTGTGTGTGTGTGTGTGTGTGTGTGTGTGTGTGTGTGTGTGTGTGTGTGTGTGAGTGTGTGTGTTTTCCAGCCACTTATCTGCATACACAGCCCCTGTACAGAATCATAAAAAAAGCCCACACAGCCAATAGGGGATTGAGGGAAGGATGAGGGAGCGGAGGATTGAGGAAGGTTAGGGCAAAATCCTTTCATTTTCTGGGGGTTTACCTCCAAAGGCCAAGTGAACTATCTCTAACAAGCCAGGACTGAGCAGATTTCCTTTCACTTGAGCAAATGATGTTCTACTGAGGAGGGTATTGACACTGCCATCGCTTTTCAGCACCGCTTTCTTGTTCCTTTTTAAATGTGCCAGGTTCAAGGGCGAAGCTACAAAGCAGTCGGCTGTAGCAAATCACCCCAACTGAAGAGCATGACGGAGAGTGGCATCCCTTTCCCCTCAACACTGAGTCTGCATCAGGTTACAGGATGTGTGAAGCCACTGTCTTTCGCATGTCGACCGGAGCGTAACAACACGAAGGCACTTAGTGCTGCTCCCACGGGAGGACTCGTGGTACCACATCTGGGACAAACTCACTGCTGCACTCAGGGCTTTGAAGTTTTTGATAACATGGCAGGGCTTCAACCTATAGCCAGAATAATTACCCTACCACATTTTGTTAAAAGCACACTGTGTTGAATGGAACCAACCGAAAAAGACTTGTATCGTAGATCTTCAGTCAGTAGACTACAAAACAACTAATGAAGCAAGCAATCTAGGTGTAGTGATGGACTGGACCTGAATTTCAACAGTCACATCACAACAGTTATTAGGTCTGCATACTATCACCTGAAGAACATATCTAGGATTAAAAAGCTAATGTCACAACAGGATTTAGAAAAGCTTTGCTTTTATCTTCAGTAGACTCGACTACTGCAATAGTGTATTCACAGGGCTGACAAACATTTTTATCAGAAAGCTGCAGCTGATTCAGAACGCTGCTGCTCGAGTCCTCACTAACATTAAAAGAGTGGATCACATCAGTCCGGTTCTGAAATCTTTACACTGGCTTCCAGTCGGGCAAATACTTGATTTTAAAGTACTATTGCTAGTTTTTAAATCACAAAATGGTTTAGGCCAAAGTATATTAATCTCCTGCATAATTATGAACCATCAAGGTGTCTCAGGCCTTCTGGGACGGGTCTGCTCTCGGTTCCGAGAGTAAGAACAAAACATGCCCCGACAATCTGGAACAAACTGCCCGAAACATGCACATCTGCAGAGACTCTTAGTATTTTCAAATCGAGACTGAAAACATATATTTTTGCCGCTGCTTTTAATTGAGCTGATCATATGCGCACTGCAGTATGCCTTTTATTCATGTATTGTATAACTGTTGTGTTTAATTGATTATCTTTGCTTTTTAAATGCCTGTTGTAAAATGCCATTATATAATGTGTTTCTGCTGTATTTATTCTTAAACGTCTTGTATTTTATTTTGTAAAGCACTTTGAATTGTTGCGTGCTGAAAGGTGCTATATAAATAAACGTGCCTTGCCTTGTAGAATGAGCTTTATCCACCACTGGTAAATAAACCAAGACAATAGTGTAATATACTGTGTGCAGCCTTAAAAAGTCAAAACAGAGTAACTAAACTCTTAGTGAGGAATTAAGTTAAGATGTGAATTTGACCTTTTAACAGCTCACGTACTACATGCCTAAAAGCTTGCTGGTTAAGTGGTCACAGCCAGCCTAACTAGAGCTAAAAACAAAGATTACCTAACCTGATTTTATTCATCTAATCAGAAAACAATAATCTAATGAACACACAATTCAGTGTGCTTACTCTTTGCTAACCTGCTTTCCCAGCTTTTGACTTTATAGAAGAATTTAAATGTAAACAAAATTAAGTTAAGCTACCTTTAACCCTTAAACTGTAGGTCGATTTATTGAAGTTATGTTGATATAAATATTAGAAAGAAGAAAAAAGGCAGACACCTAGCTAAAAGGAAATTGTTTACATCCTTTGAATTAGACTGAAATGATCAAATTAAGCTTAAGGGCTCAAGCAAGCTGGAATTGCTAACCTTTTTTTGAAGTGACCAAAGGCAAATGTCAAACATCTTCTTTTGTTCTGGCTGTCTGCCTTTGTGGGCAGAATAAACTCAAAATTCAGGAACTGAAAAAACTATGACTGACAGACTGATTAACATTTAGACACAAAAACATCAGTTAACACTTGGAACAAAGATGCTGCCAAACAAAAGTCTTTTGAAGCAATTTTAAAGCAAGTTATGTTATTCTCAGATAGACACCCATTATGGGAGGCGTGTGGTGCAGTGGGTTTTGCGTTGGTGTTGGGGGGTTCAAACCCCACTGCAGTCAGCAAGTCATTGTGTCCCTGGGCAAGACACTTCACCCCAAATTGCTCCTGTAGGGATTGTCCACAGTATTGAGTATGTAGGTCGCTTTGGATAAAAGAATCTAACAAGTGTAATGTAATGTTACCATCGATAAGGACACCCTCCCAAGAAACCTGCATCTAGTCGCAACGAGATGAAATTCAAGATTAAAATACCCTTTCTGTTCCTTGTGAAAGCAGCATTAAAGCATTTATCTCATCTTTGTTCTGCTCTGGGTCCCCTGGGAGTCACTCAAGGACCCTATTTCAACATTTTGTTTTTAAAGCACAAAGGAGTCTGGCAGCCTTACACGAACCAGAGAAGTAAGAAAGTAAAAAGTATGTGTAGAACGGATTTGAAAATAAAAGTAAAAGAAAGAAATGGATCTCCCAAAGAGCAAAACAAACCACAGACAACCTTGCAGAGTGATCCGGCTGTGATTTAATGTCACTACAGACATTAAATCAAAACACAGAGGAAATGGGTCTCGCATTTAAGTTATGGCTGTAGCATCCGGATCTATGAGTGGTTTTGTCCTTCACTGGCAGCTTTCCACCTAAAGAAATGCCCTAAAGCACGTAAATGAACCCGTACAGCTGTACCTAACCATGACCCTGAGCTCTGAGGCAGCGCACAGCCATCCACCTCTAGAGGACCAATGGGTGAAATCTACATTGACAGTCATTGAGCTGCAGCTGCTGGAGAAACGTATCATCCATGCATTGGCTCGTTTTGTGCATGGATGGCTGCCTCTCAGTAGCTCGGGGGGATGAGGTGCATACGATGTAATGAGTTATGACACGATTACAGATCATTATCTCCAAAGGAAACTATGACCTGAGACCCTCCCATGAGATGAGACAGTGACTCCACACATTTCTGGAGAATACAAGATATTATAATGCACAGGCACGTGGGGTTTGTTATGAAGTGAGCACGAATACTCAGAATGGAAAACGTTGTCTCCGTTCTTCTTAGGTATGAGGCATATGCCAGCCAGCAGGACGCACACATTGAAATGTGGGGGGAGACTATTTTCAGATAAGCTCTTGATTTGCTTCTGGGCGTTCAGAGACTGAATAATTGAAGTATGATGAGCATTTCGCTTTAACCGCAGTTGCAGCTATAAAACATGTGTGCATGTGTCATTATCTCTCTCTAATGTCGTTTAAACATCACTTTTCCCGATTTACTAATCGTTTTAGCTGCTTTGATATAACTGCATGCTTTGGTTTGTTTGTAGGCTACGGATTTGAACTAAAACGCGCACTAAGGGAGGTATAGCTCGAGGTGGGATTTTGGTTTATGACCACTAAAAAGTAATATATCAAGAAAGTTCACTGACCATTCACATCCTAGTCATAAAGTAAGGAGTATAATGATACTTTTTTCGAGCTCAGCACCGAGTTACGGCGCAGTGTCTCTTACCTTGAGCTGCGAGGAGCACCAGCAGGAGGACGCTTGTTAGTTTCCCGAGGAAATTCATCGATACATCGGCCCTTGACGGTTCTTTATGCAGATAAAGAAGATACTTAGAGTTGAAGTCTGGTCAGTAACCCACTACAAACGTCTGAGTAGTCTAAGATTCAAGCATCATGTTGTCTTTGCGCTCCGGTGCGTGGAGAGGTTGGACTCGCGGTGCGCTCTGCCGACATGAGCAACTTCTCTCGTCCCGCCTCCCCCTCCCTCCATCCCCGCGTTACTCTCACCCACCCACTCAGCCAAAGTGCCAAACCTAGCGACCTGACTCACGGTGACTCACAGGTGTTAAATTTGGAATAAGGAAACGTTTTTAAATAGCTATACCGCCAGGGGTCCCACTGCTAAAATGTCTATTTGAACCCTTGTTTTTTTGCAATCCTTTTTCCTTAAATTATTCAAATGTAACTGTATTTTCACTTGTCTGATAGTTTACACTTTCTGAAAATGCGTAGGTCTACATACTGTAAATCAAGCTCAAAGACCTATCCTCACATCTACTCAATACAGCTCTAGAGAAAGATGCAGCACCCACACAATAATCACACATTTTCCCTGCTGAGCTGTAAATGACCTATTTAGTCACTTAATTGATTTTGTATGCATAACAATGCTCAGGCAGCTTAAAGCATTAGCTGCTCTATAATAGAGTGTTGAGGGATGCAGAGTCTGCCCAATTCAAATAACAGAAAGCTAAGCATAATGCATATCTGCACACTGCACTGTCGAGCATGTAAGTCCAGACTGACAACTACATACTGTATATATTCTTGAAAAAAAGAATTGCAGTCACAGGTAAACATTATAATTAATTTACTGAAACAATGTGTATATGTAGTTTCTCTCTGCGCTTCACTTTTAGTTTGAAGTTGTATTTCTTACTTTTGTTAATCCAACACATAACAGGGTGGACAGAGATAGCTTTTAGTTGATTTCTATGTTAATAATTTATGAATCTGTTTTTATGCCGATATGGAACAAATTCACCTGCATGTCTATATGCGTGTCTATACCTATTTTAGTTTTCTGCATCATAAGATGTTTTTGTCTACTCAGTCACTCTTCTTTACCCTCTCACCTGGCACGAAAAAAAGAACATGGAGTTTATACATACTAACAAAAATATATCTGTGTGGGCGTGCGCTGACATATATCTTTATATAGCTTTATAAGAGTAAGACTAAATAGAAAGAGACAAAGATAGCTTTCTTATTTAATGACCTCTTTTGTCATGTTAGATGTTGTTTTTCCTGCTGCAGTCAGCTACTGTATCAAATAACTACATACATGTACAAAGTGTCTTACATGTAAGCAGCTGCCGGCTCAGAAGCAAAACGGCCAGAGACAAGTGGACGTCCTGGTCCTCAATTTTAAGCTCAATTAGTTTTGTCGTTTGGGTTAGTGAAGCCAACCGAGCTTGATGTTGAGTCTCAAAGGCTGGAAGCTGTGGTGATTAAATGTCTCTAATGGGCCGGTAGCAACATCCAAAAGAAGAAAACAGACCAAAAAGAAAGAGGAATGTAAGGTATAAGGGTGTAAAGAGAGGTTTTATAGGAGCTAAGGATGCAGAGAGGGCTTGATGGATGAAGATAACGGCATATGGACAGCTAATAGGGAGGGAGAGATACACAGCTGAGCATGAAATGTTAAAAGCTCCAGAAGTGATGTGATGTAGTTAGAGAGCGTCACCAGAAGAGCAGAAAAACAGGGATGCACTTTGGCTGCTTGATGTGCTTCAGTGTGACAGAGCCAGTGAATCTATTTGCAGATGTTTTGGTTCAGTGATGCTGAGAAAAGCTGAGGAAGAGTCTCCACCCACAGGCAAGGAGTATGGAGGAACAGATTATTATTATTCACACTGTGTTACTTTTATTTTATGCCCCCACTATTACAATGTTGCTCTTCTTTTACCTCTTCTCCAAGAAGCTGCCAACAAGATAGTGACAGACATTTAAACAAGCCTTCGTAACAATTAACACTTAAAAACAAAAATGTGCAGGTATTTCTCCATGGAGTTAGCTTACAAGCTAAAAGGTCAACCTGTGACCTTTGTTGTTTATTTGAATATATTTCCCTGTAAATAACTAAATGTTGGTTTTAAAAGTGTGCATTTGCCTGAATGCTACTTTAATTGTTCCGTAATAACCCGTCTTTTCAGTCATATTTAATTAACTTAGATTAAAATGGGTTTTTAAGGGGAACAAACATAGCAGAAATGTGTAATTTTCTGATCTCCTGGCTATGATGGTTTAAAAGCTTTGGTCCCTCTGCTCATCAGCTCCTTATCTGCAGCTCTTTGTGATAAGTTTCGATTTAATTAAGGAAGTAAAACTGGATAATGGCTTCACCTGGATTTACAAACCTCCTCAAGGCAAGAGCGTTCAAGTCATATGATTGGAGTGAGATATGATAACTAGAACTGCTTATACATGCAATAAAAACTAAACATGTGAATTCATAAAAGGAGTTGTGAAGCAATCTGAAGACTGTAAAGTGTATGGTGCATTTACTTAATACTTACTATTAGGTTGAGCAGGGATATAAAATAATGAAAGTCAGCTTCACAGGTGGAGGCTGTTGCCCTGAAGTGTCACAATCAGCCCGCTGGTGATCTAGCAGAGCAAGCTAACAGACTAAAATACTCTCCCTTCTTCTTCATCACACTCTTTTTTATTTCTTCATTCAGCTGCTTCTCTGTCCCTCCTTCTTTTGTCGTGTCTCGCCCACCACCTAGTAGACACACTGTTAAATAACAACAGGCATCTGGTGGGACAGCTCATACAAAGCAGAAGGACCTTGAGGGCCTGATGCAGAGCAAAAGGAAAAGTGTTTTAACAGAGTGTGTGTCAGAGAGGACTGTCCCGGCTTATCCACATCAACCTTGTTCACTGTTTCTCTCATGAGTCTGCGTGGGTATCTCTCTCTCTCTCTCTCTGCCTTCTTTCTTTCCACCTTCCTTTATCACTTTGTCTGTCTTTATAAATCACACATTTTCCTGACTTTGGTTTAGATTTGTCCTATTATATGTTGGTGGCCTTAAGATAACAGAGGTCAATTGTGTTCAATCTTTTCTTCTTAAAATCAGGTGCATTGTTGTTGTTTTCCTTCTTTCTCTCTGGTCACAGTATCAATGTGTTACTTGTCACTCACACTAGTCTAGTGTTGCAGCAGGTCTGAGGAGTAACCTGTATTATTGAACATGTTGTGTCTGGCACATTTAACATTCACTTAACTGTTTGATATAAAGTTCACCTCTTTTCCATCATAGGTACATTTAAGACTTCTTGCACCAATTTTTCTTTTTTTTTGTATTTTATTATATATCTATTTTGCATTGTTGGAGGAGCTTTGGTCATACGATTGTCATTGCCATTTCTATAGCTTATGTATGTGCATTATGACATTAAAACCTTTGCATCTTGAATCTAAGCTGCATTAATACGATTAATACGAGCTTTGCATTTCAGTTTGACTGCTAACACTGTTTTGATTCAGTATCACTGCTCTCCTTAGCCTTGTTATCAGCCACAGCTTTCTTCAGTGAAAGAGCTCTGATAAACAGACTGTGCAGACTGCCCAGCACCAGACAGCATCAAGTCCATAGCTGGTGCAACCCTGTCTCCTGGATATTACATTTATATACAACTCATTTGCAACAACCAATACATTTTTTGATTAAACACAACGCTTAGAAGAGTACGTCTTATTTTAACATACTGAGGAAATAAACAAGCAGTTAATTAACATTTCTGGCAAGTTACCATAATAGTTAATACTCTCAAATCTTGCCAAACAATATGTGCCTTATATTAACCATGTTATTGTCATGAGTGCATGTTGGAAACTCATAGCACTTGGTTTGCATTAGGAAGAGATCAATGTGTGGTATGATAAAAGAAAGTCTGCATTGATTTGAGATGCATCTTGTTCGTTGACATTAAACACAACCTCTTACAGTTATAATTGATGCATTTATCTCAAGTAATTAATACTTGACTGACACTGTGTACATTTTCGATATGATTAAAATGTAATCTCAAATGTCCTAACTGAGGGGACGTGTGCTCTTGACCCCTCTCCACCTTTTGTTCCTTACCCTCTAACCCAATCTAAACTGCTTAGTCTTCCTCCCATGATCCCCTTCTTCTTTCTGCTCCGCCTCATCCCACCCTTCCACTGTAACCACTCGCCGACAACTCTTTTTAAAAAGCTCTGAGCATCCCCTTTCCTCCTACATCGCACTGTCACGCTACCCTCAATGACCCCCCCTCAACCCTGCAGCATTTACCCAGCCTTCCTCTCCTCTTCTCCTCGTCTCCCTCCTCCTCCCTCCTCCTTCTCACTCCAGCAGACCCATTAACACCACAGAGATTTTTACTTCCTGTTTTCCATTTATCCAGTGTCCACTATACGCAGAGAGCTTGGTCATGCTGTGGCCTTTTGCAGCCAAAAGCAACTAATTAAAGCCCCTTCACTGCTCAAATCACAGTTATCTGATTAAAGCCCCTTGCTGCTAATTAAACTGACATTTCTCTGCACCATGTTTTTCCCACAAACCCTCCCACTCTCTCTCTCACACACACACACACACACACACACACGGGAAAAACATGGTGCAGAGAAATGTCAGTTTAATTAGCAGCAAGGGGCTNGTGCGTGCGTGCGTGAAAGTCTAAAATATATCATATAATAACTATAGCTGTCAAGTAAATGCAATGGAACAGCCACAATACACTGGCTATAACAACTGCATCCAGATAATGTTATTGAAAGTGAACAGTAACTAGCTGTATGCTCAGATCTCATCAGACCATCTCTGGCTGAGCCCCACTCTTTCAGATATACTGTAATAGCTGCTTGCCTAGAGACACGACATGTACAATTCTATTGTCAACAATGATCAAAGTTACAGTTTGCTTCGAGGGTGAAAACCTTTCAAATCTTCTTTAGCAACTGAATGAGCTAAACATAATATCTGATAGAGTTGTGAATGCCTGCATATGATGCGTATGNNNNACCCTCCCACTCTCTCACACACACACACACACACACACACACACACACACACACACACACACACACACACACACGCATCGTATAAAACAGCAACATTGCTTTATGTATTTATTCTCCTGTCCTTCTTGTTCTCTGATTACAGCAGCGTCATTTTAACTGCAGCCCGAGGGGTCAAACAGCCACAAAAAGCTTATCTGGTCCACTCATGTTTTTACTAAAAATTATATCTGAAAGATTGTCTGAAAGTATTTCAGCCATCACAGATGATCTACTCGTCATCGCTTTAAGTTATTTTTAATCCATTTAAAAAGTGGTAGAAACATTTTGTTAATAGCCCTTGCAATCTTCATCTGTGTCTTTGGGCATGTGTCCGAGGGGGAAATGTAATCTGTTTCCCTTTTATGACTCTTATCAGCATTTAACAAGATATCTGGTATTCCTTAGAAACACATTCATGTAATTGAAATGTGTTTGGATGGCTTTAATATTAAACCTAGCTTTTCTTTGGCCCTAAAATGTGCATCTGATTAACTTCAGAGATTTCAGTCAGGAGATGATGATGTTATACAAATACTATGTTGTATATAAGCAAAGTACAGCAACAATAATTTGAAAACTTTTCAAGTTGCTCATATAATGGTCCAATAATATCCCTCTGAAAATGTAAGTTAACTCAAAATATCAGGTTGCTAAAATAAGATTGAGGCATTTCAGAAACCAAACTAGACGATAATAAATTGGTTGGAAAATCCAAATGTATGACCCAGAATAAAAGTTTGGAGATTGCATAACTTGCTATAACCTAAAGGGGGGAATTCAAATTGCATACATTTAAAGTGATGGTTTGTAAAGTACTGTACATTCAGTGGTTAGATATCAAGCTGTTACATTAAATAATCAGTAGTTAAAATTCACAATAGGGTTTTTAGTTTCTTATTAGATTCAAATCTAACGGCTTTGCCTTCAACGCATAAGCATGGACTAAATGCCACAAACAAGTTCAAAATAGGATTCACACTAAAAGTGATATAACTGATTATTCCAAAAATATACTTTAAACATTCTGAGTATTTATTGCAATGTCTGTTGTGGAACTAAGTGACAGGGCTGCTCCTCTGCACTGTCTCTTTTGACCACTAGCGAGCAGCAACAGGCACCCTGATCTGTCAGCAGGCAGCAGACCTGAGGACATATTTATGTCCTCCGAGGCCCGTTTAAAACCCTGTAAAGTGTTAGGACCACAGTCTATCCCCTCAGCTCAGAGGCTCAACGGGAAGGATCGATGGCCCCTAGACTCCAATGCACAGCAGCTACACATCCTGTAATGCAGTAATGCAGTTCATAAATATTGACCACAGAGCTGAAATGGCAGATATAAATCCTAGAGGAGCATAATGGGAAAGATGGAGGGTTACAGCGCTGTACAGGAAACAGATCAAACTGCTGCAGTCCCCATGCTGCAGCGAAGGATCAAGACTCTGATAACAGCAGGTCGACGGAGAGAATGGAAAAGAATAGAAACATGTCAGTGAAGACAGAGTTGTACGTAGCTGGCATTGCTGAAATGTAACTATTGACTCACGTACATAAGTAAAGATGTGAGGTATAGCTTAAAAAAACAAATACTTTACGTTTTACTCAACTATTTGTCTGACAGCTTTGGATATTACTTCAGATTTTGTTTTCACACATTTCCTGTCATTGTCATGTATCTCTAAATCAGGGGATTTTAATAAAAAAATTTGATTGATAATTAATTGTTCCTTATGGTTTGAGAATATTGTTCACTTATAGATAAACCCTTTAAAACCACTCTTAAATCAGCTGGGACAAACATTACAGCAGAAATGTGATGAATGTTTTAGAATAGGTTGAAACTACTCAATGGTATATAAAGACATTTAATTAAATTAAATTGTAAAATGCAACACACACATAAACTAAGCAATAAGGTTATTCCATATAAAGTAAAAACACTGATAAGCACCCTTTTTTCTGCAGAATGAGTACTCAATACTTTGAGTACATTTTGTTGATACTATTTTCCTACTTTCACAGAGGTACGATTGTTAATGCAAGACCTCCACTGGTAATGGACGATGTTCACAGTCTGGTTCTTTACCTTGAGTAACTTATTTACTGTGGTTACTATAATAACACTGGTAACCACATGTGTTTGTGCATGGCCTTAAACCTACTCATTACTCCTTGAGGGGCGCGCTGAGTGGTGCAGAGGCAGCAGCAGCAGCATTGGAGAAGCAGAGGGAGGGATGGCAAATCTTGCAGATCAAAAAGAGCGCCAAATTTAGAAGAAGGTGTTTGGTCGGTGGTATAAGGGGTGAGGCTATTTGTGTCATTGTGGCTCGAGTCGAATGCTCCATAAGCTCGCAGGCTTTGCTCCATTTTGCAATAAACCACATGTAGGAGCCATATGTTAAAATATTTATTTTGATATATTTCAATATTATAATCCTTTGTTGTTTGTGACATTATATCATTTATTTGAACCAGCCGTGTGAAATTGACGGCATAGACGACCGCAGCTGTTCGTGATTACGAGATGTTATGGCCGACGGCAGCTGCTGGTGATTGGCGTGTGTGAGAAGGGGAAGGAACCACAGAGCAACATCGTTTTTTGACCTGAGAAAATATGTGTTTGTATTTGATACCTTTTGTCTAAGTAAAGAGTCAAACAAACTATCCTGAGGCGTATCTTGTCCGAGTCAAGCTTATTTGCTACCTGTGAATCGAATCTTGGATTACTGGAACTACACTGCATGCAATTAAACTCCACAACAAGTCCTCATTTACTTCTCTCCTTTAAAGGAAACTAAGATGAACCAGCTTTAACTTTTGTGACTGACATTTTAAAGTCAAACTTACAAAGATGCCATTGCACATATCCCTATGAAACATCTGATATTTTGGAGAAATCTACTATAAAATATGCAATAAATACACATTAGCATGTGATTGCTTGACTGCCTCTGATTGACTTTCTGTAAGGCAAACATTATATATGTCAGTACGCATATGGGTTTGTCTTGCAGAGAAGAATAAATGCTTATCGATCTCTATCTGCAGCATGAAGCGGTCTTTAATGTCGGCTCTTCTGCCGCCCTAACAAACTGCAGATGTCCAGTGTCTCTTGTTTATGGCCAACCTTCTTCATCCCTGCCTCCCTTCATCACACCTGTCCCTCTTCTTCCCTCCCACTCTGCTGGAAGCCCTCCTCCCTCACTCATTCAGTTTCATCTCCTCCGTCACGCTCCATGATTAGACCTGGAGACCATAACAATGACTCTGTGGCTGCATTTTCTCTTTTTACCTTAAATGATTGAAGACATTAGAAATTGGCCCTTTTGGTACAATGAATGGATTCCTTCTAGACTTAAGAGTCATTTCACCTAATTGTATTTTAATGTAACTGATGACTCATTTATAAAATGTCACGATGTTGTACATTGCCTAACATCCCTTGAAGGACCCAAGCGAGACGTCCCCTGGATGCAGGTGAATTATGACCACTGCCCAGGTTGTATAATACATGATTGGCAATGAAACCAATCCAAATGAAATGTGTATGATGTTCAGAAACCAGAAAAGGACATATTAACACCAAGAACAGCTCCACTCAGCACCTCTCACCCTCGAGTGGATACTCTCTAAATGGAAATGAATGCAGATGTTACGTATCTCATTTATGAGCCATACAAGGCGAGGATAGTAGTACTATGGGCTGTAATTACTGAACCCAGCTCCAATTCACGGGCTGTCACTACATTTGTCGGATTATGTCACGTGTGTGTGTGTGTGTAATGTAAGCTATAATGGAGGCCCCTGCCTCTGTATGAATGGGATGTGAATAGGTGATTGATGACTTGTATATGTAAAGCGCTTTGAAGAGTCGTACAGACTGGATAAAGCGCTATTTTAAAATGAATACATAAACATTTGTTTCCTGGAAAAACCAACCTTAAAAAATGAAGACACAGAAACTGCAATCACATATGATTTTTATAATTGTGATTACAAATATTGTATATGAAATACTGTCTAATGAGGTCTCTGTCAGCTGACTTACCTGTGGCCTCGGAGTGTACACTTACAAGAGGACATACACTTCCGAAGCTCTGTCCAAAATGCCAACCTGCCGGAGATTGTTCTTGGTTTTGAATCTTCTCACCATTGCTAAAATTGTGTGTTGTGGGCAAAAAGAGCCTGGGGGATATTCAAGCCTTTACTTTGTCTTGTCCTAAACATGCTGATTCTCAAATGAACTGTTAAGTGAANAGTACAGTACACGTCTCCTCTGCCAACATTGGAAGCAGTGACAGACGAGTGCATTAAGACGGTGACTAGTTATATAATAGCTCTTGGAAATAATCACTGAACACATATTCAAGTAATGTCTCTGAGAGCAGACTGCGAGGGCTTACAATATGATGAAGGATAAAGCAAGCTGTATAAAATACTGTACAATGTTATTGCTGCTGGTTTCCTTGATTGTGGATTCTGACAAGAACAACTTTGATAAAATGAGAGTAATGTACCTTTAAAAAGGAGCATGGTGAGTATCAACAGCCTAATGGTCATTGGTTTAAAGTGTTGCTTGTTATTGTAACGTCCCTCCTTTATTTAAAAACAAAGCTGCTTTTAAACATGACAGCAGCAGCTTACATTGGATCAGTCTCACAGTGAGGTTTGTGTGAGGGTAAAAGCACGTCGCACACACATACATTGTTATTGTTATTTGAGCAGTCCAACAGTTTGTGTGCCGTCTCGCTCCGATTTTAAAGGCAAACGTTTGTATATAGTATGTGTGCTATTGGCAAAAGCTCCATGAGAGGTGATCTTCGTCTGTCTTTGAGAAGAAAAAAACTGAACTGAACTTTTTTGAATGCATTCAGGCCCCCATAATGGCATGGTATCTGATATTTAAACAGAGAGACATAGCTAAACAAAATCTGTTTTAAATTGAAACGTTGCTGTTGTCCAGTAAACCTTTTTGAACTCCAATGTGGGTCAGCACACCTTTATGTATCCATGCTGCTATATTTCAATCATTGGACCTGTATCGATCCCCAGGGAAGAGCATAATGATGAAAGACTGCTTTATTTTTTGTTTGAATTAAACAATAATTCTGGTTAATAATAACCTGGTTCTTGTTTTTATAGCTCTCCATTGTGTTTTTTTATTATGATATCATGAAAAACAACTAAGGTGGTCCAAAAGTAAGTCCATCTGGTAACTGGTTATACATGTACTGTTTGCCTTTGCCTAGCAGAGTGGAGCAGAGGATGGCAGGACACATGGAGGATGTCAGAGTGGAAGTAAGGAGGGGAGAAGGTGGTGGAAGAGGTCTAAAGTGCATCATTATCATTTGTCCAGTGAGCGTGTGTTGCAAGACGAACAGGTTTATGTTTTAAAATGTTGTCCGAGCTCTGTTCAGAGGGGCGAGGGGTGAAGTTAGTTCATAATGACGTTGCAGCTTTCATGTATTGTCCTACTCATCAACAAGGGGAGTGTAGTAGTTCTGGAACAGAGGCTGCATGAAGAGACCCAGCGTCCCGACCACACACACAAACACGAAGATCCACAGGAAGAGACGGTCGATCACCATGGCCACGTACTTCCAGTCTTCAATGATCTGTGGAGAGAGAAAGATTTTGAATGCTGCTATAGATTAATGCCCTGAACTTAGGTGCACTGTGAATTGTTTATTTTGTTTATTTTGAATAATATATTTTGTCTCTGGTGCTGCTCATATCTAATATCACATATAATTATTTTTGGCTGACACAAGAGTAAAGTTGCTTTGACATAATATGAAGGGCACACAAATCACAAATAACTGAATTAAAGCTGTTGATGGATTTGCTCTGAGGGCAAGCATTGTATACCAGAGCGGATTAGGTATTTACCAATGTTGTGGCTATTTTCTCTCATGCGCAATAATGTAATACATGTGCCGTTTAATCACATGAAGTGCAAATAAATCACTACCAATGCACAACAATGTACAACATTTGTTATTCCTACAGTAATGCACAATAACAGTCTTTAATTGAGCAATTGAAAGAAAGGCAAACACGCCAACATAATTATTTCCATACCACATAGATTACATCAAGTAACTCATCACGTAGCATAAGTGGTACAAGAAACATGAAACCTTGGAAATCAATATGTGCAGACCAACAACAAGCAGGTGAAGGAAAGGCCTTCAAAGCATGTTGCACATATTTTAAGTTCTGACATAAATGCAAATGCAGATAAACCTACCCCTTCATCATCATCCTCTCTCTTCATCTTGTCAGCGATGTAGCGTACTCCATCTACTGCATCTTCCACGTCAATGTTGTTCTTGAGCGTCATCCTCTTCCTGAACTCTGTGTTGTCTGACATGTCGCTGATTCTCCAGCCGTAGCGTTTGGCCGACTCCTCGTTGACGAAGAAGGATGAGGAGGAATCCGCCATTCCTCCATGGCCTCCATCACACATCTTCTGGTCGGAGTAGGATCTCTGTTGGTGTTTTCTCCTGAACTTCTCACGGATGTTGGAGCTGCCGGGTCTCCGCATGAAGAGGTAAGAGGGGAGCCGGTACAGGAAGACACGCTTCACCCACGGAGGCATGGTGTGCGTACTGGGGGACCGATGGTGCACGTTGAGCACGCAAACGCTGGTGACGATGGAGAAGGTGACCAGTACCATAGAAAACATCAGGTACTTTCCGATCAGAGGCACTGCCAAAGACGTGGGTGGCACAATTTTGGAGATAAGGAGTAGAAACACAGTGAGAGCCAGGAGGACGGAGATAGTGAGCGTCATCTTCTCACCACAGTCTGACGGGAGATAGAACACCAGGATAGCCAGAGACGTGATCAGGATGCAGGGAATGATCAGGTTGATGGTGTAGAAGAGAGGCTTTCTTTTGATAATAAAGTCATATGTGATGTCCAGGTACCTGATGTCGTTGGGGTCTTCGTTCTTGCGGCCAGGCAGTGAAACAATATCCCACTCACCGCTGGGTTTGAAGTCGTCACGTGAGGCGAAATCACTGAGGAGGATGAGGTCTATCTCAGTGTGGTCGTAGGTCCAGGAGCGAAACTTGAGGGTGCAGTTCTGCTGGTCGAAAGGGAAATCACGGACTTCAATTTTGCAGGCCGACTTGTAGATAGCTGGTGGGAGCCAGGCCACTTCGCCGTTGTTGGAGACCACTGCATTGGAGTAGAAGGAGACTTCATAGGTCCCATCAGCACTGAGAGGAGGAACGTGTGGGAGGTGAGCAAAATAAAGGAGAAAGATGAAGTCAAGGCACTCAAATGTAAAGAATGTCTCTCACACATTGAAACACAAACAGGTCTTTACAAGTTCATGGAAGGTTTAGGAACAAGGAGAAGTCTGAGTAGAACTGCTAGAATACTTATTTCATCACTCACGGAACAAATCCACCTCAACACATATATTTAGTTTTGGTTAAATGAATAATACCAACAGGTTAGCTTAAAAAGAGGTGGTTGTGATTAGGGTTACAAAATTCCAGGAATTTTCAAAGATGGAAACTTTCCATGGGAATAAACGGGAATTAAGGAATTAACTGGGAATTTTCCAAATTGAAGGTTGGCTCTTCATAGGGAACTTAAATATAGTTGGGGAAAGTATATTTTAGCATGATCTTGACTACAAAAAAAAGATGCCGTTCAAGTACACTTGAATATCCATGCCATAGCAAACTGCTTACTGCATGGCTATTGAGACCACACAAAGGTTCGCAACAGGCTCACAAATGTGAGAGTGGAAAAACTGGTTGGCATTCGGGCAAACCTAAGGCTCTCTGAGCCGGACACAGAGCCATCCTCAACAAGGCTGGACAATGACACTGAAGAGGAAGACTCAGAGTTTAATGTTGATGAGGCCCAGGAAGAGTCCGTTGACTGAAAGGGTTTAGCCAAAATGCAGAGGATTGCTTGAAGGAAGATTTGAATGTTTAATGGGACTTTTTGGAGGGAGAAGGGCTCTTTTCATTTAACATTTTGAATGTGACTTTGTGGGGATTTTTGGATAGGGGGTGCACTTTTGTTCATTTTTTTAATGAGTGGGGTTGGGGGGGATGAGTAATATTTAACATTCCTGTTTTCGTTCTTCAATGAAACAAATAATTATTATTTGTTTCATTGAAGAACGAAAACAGGAATGTTAAATATTACTCATCCCCCCCAACCCCACTCATTAAAAAAATGAACAAAAGTGCACCCCCTATNTCATTTTCAGACAGGTTTTTATAGAAATGGATCAGGACAAAAAGAAGAGAATCTTTGTTCCTGAAACTTTCAGAGTCTCTTTCCACAGAGGGGACACATGTTGATGTAGAAGAGACATGAAGAAGAGGGGACACATGTTGATGTAGAAGAGACATGGAGAAGAGGGGACACATGTTGATGTAGAAGAGACATGAAGAAGAGGGGACACATGTTGATGTAGAAGAGACATGAAGAAGAGGGGACACATGTTGATGTAGAAGAGACATGAAGAAGAGGGGACACATGTTGATGTAGAAGAGACATGGAGAAGTGGATTTAGCACAATAGGTGACCTTTAAGGAAAGACACACTCACACACAGACCAGAAATAACTAAATGTCTCATCATGTTTGGTCTTACCTCCTTTGTAAGAGTCCTTGAGCGTCCGTGAGATCCACTGAACGGCTTTAGCGGCTACTTTAGTGCCAAAGTTTCTGTCAAAGGGAGACGGAGCTCCTCCCTGGGGAAAGGACGGACAATATGAAACCACAAGTTCAAAAATAAGGATATTTGTATAAGATATGTACGATGCATAAAGCATGCCTCAGGAGAGACTTGGAATAACGTTGTAGCTGGCTAACGGGAAAGAGCTGTGAAAAAGTGAAGTGTCATTTAAATAAATGACACTTCACAAATAATTATTATTCAAGAAAAAGCAAAATACGCTTTTGTATACGTTATTTATATATAGATATTTAAATGCTTAGTCCTTAGTAAGGTTATGTAAGATTGTTTTTCACAGATTCTTTGTATTTTATTATTGAGCTGTGTGTGCTATTTGTAAAGAAATACAATCGAACATAATGCAAAGTGAGAGTGTGTGTGTGTGTGTGCGTGCGTGCGTGCGTGTCTCACCTGCTGCATGTGACCCAGGATGTTCTTCCTGCAGTCGAACACCCCCTTCCCCTCCTCGGTATACAGCTGGTAGATGAAGTCAGTGGTGTAGTTCTCATTGGAGTTCTCATTCCTAAAGAACACAAACATTACAAAGGGGTCGGTACGCTGAAATAAAAAGAAAGAAACTACCGTACACTTCTTCGGAACTACTTTCTACCAACAAACGAATTCCCTGAGATGTAAACTATCCATCGTAAAAAGGAATCCTCCCTCTAAGCCGTCGAACAAAGTGCCGTTGTGCCCTTGAGCCAGGGCATTATCTTTACTGCTCCGATGTTATATAGGACACATGTGCTCTGCAGGTGCACCCTCAGCACAGATATGCAATGTCACCGACACACCGTCCGAAATATATCCTCCGTCCTATTTCCTCCCAGCTCCGTCCTGCTGGGAGCATTTTACACAGCCTGATGGTGCAGAGGACCGAAATAGACCCGAAAGATGACGGGAAGTAAAGTGAGTGAGGTCGATTAGCTGTCAAACACCTTCAACGACATTAAAACTGATGTTTATCTACAGAAATGCAGCACGGGATAAAGATTATTTACCATTAAAAAACAGTCCGAAATATTATTTTAGAGTCTGTTCTCTCCGTCAGTTTTACACACACACACTCTCATGCAACATCCAAGAGGCTAAAGAGTGTGTGTGAGGTGATAATAAGAAGGAAGCCTCACCTGAGCACCAGCCCTCTCTGGATGGTCGTCTTCATCTTCTGCGTCAGATGCTCCACGTTGGCCTGAAAACACAGAAAAAAGTCCCGCGTTAAACCGGAGCGCTGCAACCTGCACGCGCAGCAAACAAAGTGACAAATCACAAGCTTGAGATCCTTAAACCCCCCCCCCTCAGATCCGTATTCCCTTCAGAGGGGAGAGGCTGCAGGAGGACATTCACACCACCAGGGGGCAGCAGGTCGGCAAAGTTAATTAGGAGTCAAATCCTTTGACCGTCACCAAATATATGAATGCTTGTGTGGAAGAGTGAGGAGATACCGCATGAACATTTCTGATGCCCTGGAACAAAACACAACCGTTCTGAAAGTAAATCAAACCCAAAGTGTGTGTGTGTGTGTGTGTGTGTGTGTGTGTGTGTGTGTGTGTGTGTGTGTGTGTGTGTGTGTGTGTGTGTGTGTTTGCCTGCTCTTCAGATCCCCAGCAGACCCCACAGTGAGCTCTAAGTAGCTTTGATTACATTTGGACTCCCTCTGCTCCTCTCCATTGCTTTTAGGATGCAGAGATAATGGTCATTAGCGGAGACGGGCGGGGACTTTGGGAGGCGGATGTTCATGTTGCGAAAGTGTGGCTTTAATGGGAAGTGATGGGAGGGTAATACAATTTGGTTGCATTTGGAGCTGTGACCAGAGGTTAATTTGAAAGAGCATGTGTGTGCCTGAATGGATACACCGTGACATGCCTCTGTTGAAGGGAAGTGAGGCAAAAGTTAGACACCGCGTTCCTGCGTCTTCTCTTGATTGCACGTGTGAAAAGTCACATATTACGCAACGTGTGTGTGTGTGCGATTGTTTAGAAGTCGGTTAGTCTATTTATTTTTCCAACTCTCAGTAACAATGCCTGTGTGAGGTTTAAATGACTCATTTTGGAGGAGTTATGGAAATACCCGTACATACTTTTGGGAATAAGATAAGCTATCCATCTCCTCATAAGTCTTGGTAACGCAGTGAAAGCATTATGATCTTTTCCTCCTCAGTCTCTTCATCCTTTTTTCCACATGTATCTACTTTCCCCCAAAAGGACCACTTAAAAATTTTTATAAGTACATTTTTGATGGGCAACCTCACGTTATTTCAGCTTTGTGCTGAATTCCTCTTTGCTTCCTCCTCCTTTTGAAGCACATCTAAGGCCACACACACACACACACACACACACACACACACACACACACACACACACACACACACACACACACACACACACACACACACACGGTCATGGCTCCCCTACCTCCCACCTGTCACGGCTCATATGGAGAGAAAAGGAAAACTGATATTGGTCTGCGTCAGAAGCGCAGATTTCCAAGCATTTATTGTCTTTCTCCGTTTATTGTTTTTGCCATGCCCTCTTTTGTGTTCTGATGAATTTAAACAAATGTTGTGCAATGACTAGTGGAGATTATAGCTATCAGCTTTTGGTATCCTCTTGATTACAAGACTGTTTCTGTCTTTGCTGCTGCAGTGCCAAGACACTGATTTTCACCAGCTCCATGGTTGTCCTCTAGCTAACCCTGACCTTTGACCTCGATGATGGTGGTTAGGAAACACAGTGGACCAATGCCCCACTAGGATCAATAAAACATTACCTTCGCTGATTTTTTCTATTTCATACAGCAGCTGCTAACACCTTAAGGTATTCATATACAACGCCATGACCTCCACTCTCCTTCCTGCAGCCTCGGTGAAGGAACAAACCACCAAACAATGTGCTTAATGCAGATAAAACCTTGGTGGCAGCCTGTTTGGAAAAAAACTTCAGTCCCTGGGTGTGATTATTTTATTTTCTCATAAGTTAATGTGCATAATTTAAAGAGATCAATGTTTTCTTGCCATGGCCCAACCCCCAAAACACTGATGTGGTTTCCTGTTGCTGCTCCCTTCTGAGCTTCTTAAAAGTGTGTTTTAATTAACTTACATTTCATTTTTAATGAGAGGATTTCACCTGATTGTTGAAGATAAGGTTGGTTTCATCGGCTTCTGAGAATAAATGTTTTCCCTAGGGGGGTTTTCTCACTGTAATTGCTTCCTTTTTGTTGTCATGTCACACTGTGTCGATCAAGGGGGCTGGGAGTGAAACTGACGCCCGTTGGGGGAGCGCACAGAGCGGGCAGGGCGAAGTGAGAGGACCCGGTTGCTTAAATCTTTTATCTCAGGAATGGCCGATTCGGCGATAACAGGATTGGCGTATCCCCACTAGCTCCTGACCCATATTCCCAAAGAAAACGTTGTTTACAGAAGAATTAAGGGAGACTGTGCTCTCTACAGCCGCTTTCCACTGCGCGCAATCTCAGCTCCAGCAGCAGCGGAGGAGTCGGTGCGATCTGGCAGAAAGCACCGAGCCTCCTCCTCTCTGAACGCAGTCAGTGCTGCTCTCATGCCTCCGAGACCCAGCCACCCGCCGTCATTAGCGGACGCCTTTGCAATGAAACCGCTATAATCCAGCCTGCCTTTTCTACTTTGTCTCACCCTTGACTCAATTCACAACGGGGGAAGAAAAAGAAGAGAAACACGAGACGCACTCTTCAATCTGTAAGTTTTCGCGTGTGTCGCACTGGAGGGGAGGAAACGATGGCAGCCCCGGTGAAAGCAGCTTTGGCTCTTCTGGTTCTCACCGTGGCAAGTAAGTAATCCTTTCAAATCCTCCGACAACGGGACGGGACAGGGGGGCTTCTGCTCTGCGTATGGGACTTTAATCACCACGGTCTTGTACATTAGAAAATAGCACACTCTCTCTGGGCTCTCAGCATGCCAATGACTATAATAATGGAAGTGTTATGAATATCATGAATTTGAAGGTAATTCCAGGCTTATTGGCAGAAACACCATCACTCAGCTCATTTGGGGTACATCATAATTCTCAGAGGTGAGTTCTTCAGTTTTGGGGAGATGTTAAAGCCACATTTTGACTTAACAGAAGCACGTGATACCGGAAAGCAGGCCGGTGGGGAAAATAGTTGCATGTCCTTGCCTGAGATCGTTAAGCACGTGATTTTACAGAACACCTCAATTAACTAACTTGCTGAGCCTTTAAACAACAAACACACGAAGTCATAATATTATTGCTTTTTACGCACATGGTTTTGATGTAGGTGACTGGTACATTGCTTTTGTACACATTCCCTCTTTCAATCTCGGATGATTTGGCTCTGACTGCGAACACTTGATGAAATCTCGTGATGATATTTTGTGTCCACCACGTGCGTTAATGGCCTGCAGTGTGTGCCAAGGTGATGTGATGATAATACCAGGGACATAATGAAGAGGCTCTGTACAGAGAACGTCAACGCTTCTATCAGATTATGTACCGTACACGTCTTTTCACTTCAGTTTCTTTAAATTGAGGAGCTGTCCACGGCCCTAAATCAGGCCCTGAAGGGGAATCCCATTCAGGAGCTGTCCAGGGTGATGAAATGGGATCTCAATAAACTTGTCAGTGCATGATCTGCTGCATCGCTCAACAATTCAGAGCCCCAGCACCCATTGCGTAGGTGGGTAGGTGGACCACAATGCAATAAACAGGACTTGTTTTATTGTAATAAAAGCCTATTGTTTGCAATGTTGTTAGAAATATTAAGTAGTATAGGGGAATAGCCAAAGTTAGATGCATTCTAATAAATACTTGATGGTTAAGAGCAATGGGGGGTGGGGGACGTGCAGCAGTCGGTCAATGATTACTTGTTACTTGTTGTCCATTTTTGAATTTTTGCTTCAGAATTTTAAGCACTTTATGTATGCATCTACATCTTGCATCTATAATCTCACTCAACATCATCATATAAGCCTAAGTAAATCTCTCATTTGTAATACTTTCTTTTCCCCCCTTCTGCCCTCCTTTAAAACAGATCCAACACTGTCTCTGTTTTATGACTTTACCACCATCACCTGTTTACAGCTGAGGCACTGCCTGACTCTGACTCTCTCACTCCTGTAAAACTTCTCCCTGGCTGCTACTGTAAGGACCACTCAATCCAGACAGCAACTTTATCTCTCGTTCTGTCACACTGCGCCACTCTGCCACATTTATTTCTTCATTTTATCTTGTGTTTTTCTCCTCCTTTGCTGTAACTTATCCGACGTATTGAGTTCCTCATTACACACTCCTCTGTCTCTCCAAGTATCAGCTACTTGATGTTGGTGATGTGCCAATGTGTGCTATACACTTACACCTGATTAGATGTTTTTGCTCATTAAAAGCATGAAAAATGCGTAGGAGTGGAAAAGGGGGAATCACACGCTATCTGTATGTGACAACTCTGACTGTCTGTGGATGATGCTTTACATGTGGGCGGGCAACAATATGGAGCTCTACGTTTTGTCCTTGGGTTCTTTCCAAGAAGGTTGTTTCTCACAACTTCAAAGCTGCTTTCTCATAACTGGAAATGTGTGTCCTGTCAAGTGGGCTCTGCATCAATGAGTCAACACTTCATAGTAAACTATTAGTCATTACTTTGGCACATTTGTTTGGATGTTGGTCTTTGAATGAGAGAAGTACGTCAGATGAGGTGAGATGTATGTACAGTTTTTAAGCCAGGGAGCTGCATTCAATTTATTTAGAAGAAATATCAGCAGCAATGCATGAAAGGGTAAGACTGAGGGAGGACAGAAGAAAACCACTTTGTAGACTGCCATTGTCTCTCCTCTAGACAAATAATAAGAATTCATTTATTTGTTTAACATCTTTCATACAAGACATGGAAAACAGAGTGCTACTCAAAACACAACCGACACGAACTGAACATAAAAACAGGGATGGAATACCGTCATAAATGTATAATAACAATCGAAAACATAGTAAAAATAAGAAAAAAAAACATTTACAAATGCATGCATAAGATGAAAAATGAAACAAACTAAATGAAAAACAATAATGATAAAAATCAGCATCCATATTTGAGGCATTCTCATATCAATCAATAAACACTATCTCATCCAAAGGTTCTCTTCTACTTTGTTCCACTTCACTGGTGAAGGTTTTCATTTTTAAAAAGAAAACTCTATCGAGAAGAGCAAAGCAGAATAAAAGGGCAAGACGGATCGGTTGGGACAGATAAAGACTATCATTGTAGTCAAAGTGTATTTTATTCTATCCTCACCCATTAAAGATACATCCACTGTCTGTGATGATAGAATGTTTGATGGGAAACAACCAACAGAAATCTCAGGTCAAGTCTCTGGCAGTAGACACACTGTGAGCTAAGTGTCAGAAGCTGATGTAGCAGATTGCTATGAGTGGCTTTCTCTTACAACATGCCTGATATGGGCAGTGAACTTGAAGCCAAAGACAGCTGAATTCAATTGTTTTGGCCTCAGTAAGACCGCCCCTGATAGCAAGGCATTTAATCATTTACAACCCTAAAAGAGAACCTGCAGGAGGGAGGGTTTGGATGCTTTCCTCTCTGTACACTGGACTGATGACACAGCTCGTCGATCCATTTGTGTTACAAACACAGCAGAGAAACGGCAGTTGGTCCAGATGTTTGTGTTGTGGCACGATTCAAAAACATTCTTCATGCTGCGGTGGAGATGATGTGTTAAGTTGAACTGGTTTAGAAAGAGTATGAGAATAATCTTTGATTGAGGTTGAGAGTCTGCTTGTGAGATGATGGCATTTTTATTTTAGCTCCAATTAATTATTGAAGTGTGGAGAGTGCAGCGAGGTGCACAGGAGTGTGTGTGTGTGTGTGTGTGTGTGTGTGTGTGTGTGTGTGTGTGTGTGTGTGTGTGTGTGTGTGTGTGTGTGTGTGTGTGTGTGTGTGTGAGTGTGTGAGTGTGTGAGTGTGTGATGGGACCTGCTGGTAGACTCCTTAATGCTCCGTCTCTACTTACATCCACGTCTCATTTGAACGCCAACATCTTTTTTTATCCTTTACTGTCAGAGCCCTTACATCACTCTATACAGCCCATGCTGCGCTGCCTCCTCAGTCGTCTCCACTGGTGCCATCAAGTCATTTATCTCTCACAGTTTAGTAGCTTCTTGCGCCAGGTTTAGCTTTTTGCCAACCTCTTTAACTTTTTAAGGCAATACGACATTTGTATTCCTCTCTGGCAGAAATCAACGCGCAGCCAGAGAAAAGCTGAAGCCTCTTCAGTAAAGACAAGTTAGCGGGTCATAATGGTTTTAATATTGGTTTGATAAGTTGGAGTTTTTCGCAATATATGTGACTTATTTTGTTTTAAACTAAACCAAGCACCCAACTGCTGTGTGATAATGTTAAAGGACTACTCCAATTATATACTATTTCACATTTGTAAAGTGAGGTGAATCAATGGTGAATGTGGTGCAGGGGGTAAAATACGTGGGTACCAATCAGAGGATCACCAATTCGATCGTAGCCCCTGCAGTCAACATGTGAAAGGGCCCATGGGCAAGATACTGTATCCCAAATGACTCCCATATGCATGTTATTCTAAGTTGCTTTGGATAAAACCATTAGCTAAATAACATGTCATGTGAACTGATGCAGCATCCAAAATGTCCTTATTTAAAGTCCCTATGGGTCAGAAACTTAGATAATATCATTATTTCTTTTTTTAATCTCTGCCCGGTCGTTGCCTGTGCCTTTCAAACTCCATTAGCCCGATGCCAATGTAGACTCTCTGCAAGCCATCAATGTAATAGGGGTTTCTTTCCCTGAGTTCAGACACAGAAGACTTTTGGCTGCCAGTCTAAAATGAACTTCATCTGAGCGTCTCAGATGAAAAGTCTGATTATTCAAAACTTAAAAAGGAGGCAGTTTATTTTCCACGTTTGTTTTTTGTTTCCTTAACCAGCGCAATTACTGATTGTAATTGAATAACTAATTAAGTTCCTGACAATTCGGTAAACTGTGTGGCTAACTATTTGCTTGCCACTGCTCGGTGGATTTAGCAGCTATTGCTTTTTATTGAGGCTTTAATCGTATTAACCAAAGCACAATGACACATAATGCTGAAACAATGAGCTGGACTAACAGGATTTATAGAGTGTGACCTCAAATCCCAGTCAACCAAAATCACACTAGTTGCAATACAAGAAATCGGTGTGCCATTGTGCAGCGGTTTGCACCCTCGTTGCATATAAACAATGATGTGTTGCCAGGCTGTCATCCCCTTAAATGACTCAAGGATTTCCCATGAACCCCCACCATAATACGGCATGATCCTATTGCCTTTTATCCGATGATTATACTAATCTGGGAATTGTTTTGTCTCCCACTCTGTGCAGTTGTTTGTTGTTTATTGTGTGTGTCTTTTGTCCTCTTCTCCCCTCATGTGTCGTCGCCTCTTCTCTCTGGCTAATCCTGACAGACAGAGCTCTGGGTTTCAGAGCTCTCTTAAGACATATACCCTTGAGGTTTATTGTCATGGTTGCTCATATGTCGGACACTCCTCTTATCTCCTCTTCAGATAGAAGCCTGCAGGAGCTTAATGTGGACTGACCGAGTGGAGAATATCTCTCTCTTTCCTGCACCTGCCTTTAAAGCTCAGCGCCTCTTGCATCAAGTTTTATATGACAGAAAAAA